GGTCACCCAGGGAGGTTGTGGAGTCTCCTTCCCTGGAAATATTCAAAAACCATCTGGACACAATCCACCTGCTTTAGGATGATCCTAGGGAGGTTGGACCCACTGTGGTCCTTTCCAACCTGACCCACTCTGTGATTCTTTTTCTTTCTGTAACCTTGAAATGTCTAGATAAACTTCCCTAAACCACAAGTTTGGGTCTAGATCTTTAATATATTCCATATGCTCTCTGAAATACTCAGTTTAACTCTAACAATAGTTAGGAGAAAAAGAGTTTCTGATGTCATAAGTAAAAAACCTGCCCTTGAGCCTATTTTTATTCTGCATCATTCAAGGTCACATTTTTCCCAATCCTGTATGTTTTGTACCTACATTAAACAGTTAGTGCAAGCTTTCTTTTGTTAAACCAATTGTCACTTCAATGTGACAAAAGTGGCTGAGCAGTGACAGGTTCCAGCTCTAGTCATCTGTGCTCTCCAAATGGAAGGATCTGTGTTGTTTCCTAAAGCTTTCACATGTCACTCAGAGCTCTGAAGCAGCTGCTCACTGGAAGATCAATGAAAACACAGGTCTCAAAGATTACTAGAGAAATGGAAGAGCTAAATGGGATCTTAACTAGTCATTACCTGGGAAGAGAACTATGACTCACATCAACTTCAGAAAGTTAAACAGCCTTTTAGAAACTATCATGACTCACAAGCACTGCACACACACGCACTCATACACAGTCTTCTCTATTCAAGGCATATAGTTCTTCTATAGAGAAACTCAGCTCTCATCTCCTTGAACCTACAACAGCCTTATATCAATGTAATTACCTTGACATCAGCCAACTCTCTGATTCAGAGAAATAGATGCTTATGAGTGTTTCTTGCTGACTGGGCTATATAAATTGTTGACCTATAAACTTCTGTGAAACAACACATAACAGAAACTAACTTTTTTTTTCCTTCCCAAAGACATTTTGTAAGAGTTTGCTTTGGATTGCAAGTAAAGCAACTCTCAAAATCAAGTGAACTCCAGGCAGGTTTTCTTTGAGGACATAATGTTCTAAAAGAAAAAATATTTTTCAACAATTATTCCAGTGAGGGGTTATTTTGGCTTCTGAAACATTCATTTTAGTGACAATAATTCTGTGTCCATTGAAGCAATTAACATAAGCAAAGCTATTGAGTTAAGCCAAGCTAGCCAAGCTGGGGGACTCAGGCTTGAAATGGGAGCAAATACGACATTTTAGCAGTACAGGTGTTTCCAATCCATCAGTTACTGCTGTAATTTACATGCATGCTGCCTTCTGAGAGGTACTTTGAACTTTCAGGGAACTGAAAATCAGAAAGCACTTTTGCTAATTTGAACTGCAAAAGGGTTTTCCACTGATGCTCTCAGTATGACCCACGTGCACTCAGTGGAGATCATCCTGTAGGAAAAGGTAACACACTGGACAACCTTCTGAGTTTCTACACATATTTGTTCTGGTGCGGATGGAGAAGCTAATTTGTGATAATTAGGGTGTAAATTTCCAAGCGCTGCAGCTTAGCTGCCCTAGTTCCCACTAAGGCCACTTTGTCTTGCTAGGAGAAAGCAATCTGGCTTTGAAAGTACTGTAAGCTATTTTTCCTTTAACACTGAAGTGTCCCCAGCAAGAATAGTGTGAATTAGTGAAATGGAAATTCACACCCAATATGAGTTTCTATTAATTTCCTTCCGTTAAAATGCCCATAAATAGGGCAGGTGGCTGGAGCAGACTGACAGGGTAATAGATGCCCAGAAAAAAAATAAAATATATATCACAAAAGTAGCATAAGTCATAAGGAAAATGAATTAAGATGAGCACAAATAGTGTTACTGAACTTCTCTCACCTTGAAGAGGAGGAAGTAGAGCGTCCCAAGGTAGAAAGGCAGAATTACTGCAAATGACCTTAAGTAGGTGAGCAAAGAGTTTGATGTGCCTGCTAAGTAACTGCTCACCTGAGGAGCCAAGAGAGCTGAGCACTGCACGGTGTGCCCCACACAGCGCTGGGAGGAGCTGGCCTCTGATGGTTGTTTATCAGACTGACTGAAATGAGCAAATTCAATTCTTATCAGAAAAGTGTCTGCCTTGCAAAATTCAGAAGCATGAGATTCCCCTGCTAATCATCTTGGTGCAAGCGAAGAGGAACAAAAAACTTAATTATCCTTCTGCTCCAACAAATGGTACCTCCACACTAAAATCCAGAGACTGCACCGGGGACTGTCTATGCCTTTGCCCATTCCAGAATTATCCTACATGGATTATTTCATCCTGCAGGGTTGCCAGGCCTGAATTGAACCCAAACACATTAGACTGTTTGCAGTTCTTTGATTGTATTTATCAGTATTCTTTGTTACTTTAAATCAATAAGAATATTCTCTTAACTACAAAAGCACATGGAAACTGCATGAAATCTTCCACTGTTCCCCGCTGCACAGCCAGGGTCTTCTTTAAAAAGATAACTTTGAGTTTAGAAATCCCAGTTGTAGGAACACTAATTTAACAGTGCTGCAAGTCAAAGATGCATTCAGCTGGTTTGAGCGTCCCAAGGTAGAAAGGCAGAATTACTGCAAATGACCTTAAGTAGGTGAGCAAAGAGTTTGATGTGCCTGCTAAGTAACTGCTCACCTGAGGAGCCAAGAGAGCTGAGCACTGCACGGTGTGCCCCACACAGCGCTGGGAGGAGCTGGCCTCTGATGGTTGTTTATCAGACTGACTGAAATGAGCAAATTCAATTCTTATCAGAAAAGTGTCTGCCTTGCAAAATTCAGAAGCATGAGATTCCCCTGCTAATCATCTTGGTGCAAGCGAAGAGGAACAAAAAACTTAATTATCCTTCTGCTCCAACAAATGGTACCTCCACACTAAAATCCAGAGACTGCACCGGGGACTGTCTATGCCTTTGCCCATTCCAGAATTATCCTACATGGATTATTTCATCCTGCAGGGTTGCCAGGCCTGAATTGAACCCAAACACATTAGACTGTTTGCAGTTCTTTGATTGTATTTATCAGTATTCTTTGTTGTCAGGTATAGGACTTTATTTTAAATCAATAAGAATATGCTCTTAACTACAAAAGCACATGGAAACTGCATGAAATCTTCCACTGTTCCCCGCTGCACAGCCAGGGTCTTCTTTAAAAAGATAACTTTGAGTTTAGAAATCCCAGTTGTAGGAACACTAATTTAACAGTGCTGCAAGTCAAAGATACATTCAGCTGGTTTGAATTCCTAGGCAAGGTGTGAAACCAAACTGGGGGGGAGTCTCCAGATAAACCAAGAGCAATTTCCTGACTGTATTTCAGTCCAAAGCTGCACAGATCACAGTTGTATAAACTCATTTTATGCATTTTATGTCTCTTTTGTTAACTTTAATATCTTCTGTCTCTGAACATCATATGTGCCTTTCAAACCCTGCAAATCTGAGGTATCTGAATTAAGGTCATATTATGTTGTGAAAGTGGATTGCCACACAACTTTATATCTGAATATTTCTCAAATTCACAAGAGCAGCAGATATTCTCCCTTCTGTCAATACAACTTCTTCAATGAGATTCTGCTTCAATATGCAAGTTTTATTGCATCTCTATATACTGTGAAAATGTGCTTCTCCACAGAAAGTAGTATTTTACTATCTTTGACAGCAATAAAAATGTTTCTTACATACTATGGAACATAGTGAGGCAGTCTGAGATACACATGAAATGTCCCCCAGAAAAGTGAGTTTATTTAAGGAGACTGGCACATATTTCCAGTCTGGTTTATATTTCAGAAGTTGCTGTAATCTCAGACTACATATTTGAGAAATCCTGAAAGACAGATGAGGTTCCAGAAGACTGGTAAAGATAAAAACTATCTTAAGAAAAAGGAATAGCTGCAGAACAGTCAACACTTTGGCATGTTTAATTGTTTATTTCATTAATTTTCCTCTTGATTTAAATTAAGCAAGTATCCAGAAGAGAGCAATAAAAAAATAGCAAAGACCAGTGATTAATCAAAGAAAAATTGTATGAAACTGAACAAACTTCTTTCTATAACAAAGTACTAGGTCTTGGGAAAAAGAATGAGCAATTAAAGCCATATATGCTAGCTCTGAAATGTTTCACAGTCCTGATTGTTCCCACTCTTACTATTGTGTATTTAATTATTCCTACCTAAATTAAGTAGCTCTCATTTTAATTTGTTGAGATGTGTAAACTTTTCACACTGATTTCTTGAACTCTCATGATAATTCTCAATTTACATCTTACCCTTTCACAGGCAGTAAAGGGATCCTCTGCAGCTGATGGTTGGATGCTATTTAATAATCATCTCTACCATGTTATCCAAAATATTAATGGAAGTCTTGACTAGTGCTAGACCTGAGGTAGGATCCTGCAAATCCCATGTGCAGAATCCTTTCATTTTGATGATGAATCATGGTTATAAAACCAGCTGCATTTTCCCAACACTGTGCAGCAGTACTCAGAAAAATAACTGCAAGTTTTTTCACAAATGGAACAAACAGAATATCAATCCAGAATGAAAACAGAAAACATTGTACTGGGATGCATAAGCCAAAAAGTAGCACTGAAGTTGTGAAGAAGTGACATTTCAGGACATTACACTTTTGAAGTCTGCATGCACATATTTGAGATAAATCAGGAGATATTAGAGCTATTGGCCTTGTAGATAAGCCAGAAAGAACTGAACTCATTCCACCAAAAGAAAACTCTGCAGACACACAAGAAAACGTAAATGTAAAGTGGTAGTAATTGTGGAAATACAATATTCTCTATCCACCACAGACAGGGTAAAATGTAATGGTCTGAAACTACAAAAAGTTATTTAAATTGGGAGCTAAGAAAACTACAAAGAAATGAAAGTGAGAATACATCATTAAACTTGCATGTTCCCTACATGACATTAATGGTAATGTAAAAATGCCAACCAAACCATCTTCCATAACCCCCTGTCATGCACACAGATCCAGGAATTGGGAGCTAAGAAAACTACAAAGAAATGAAAGTGAGAATACATCACTAAACTTGCATGTTCCCTACATGACATTAATGGTAATGTAAAAATGCCAACCAAACCATGCTTCCATAACCCAGCTTCAGATCTGTCACGCACACAGATCCAGCGATATCTTCTGCTTCATCCAGTTGTTCAAAGGCCCATCCAGCCTGACCTTGGATGCTTCCAGAGATGTTCCAGCTGACAAGATTTAACAACTATGGAGACACAAAAAACACAGCAATCCAACAGATGATTAAGGAACCATCGAAATCTATTATTTATAGTCTCACATAGTTTTTGACAGATGACTGTAAAACATGGGTTTGAAATCATTATTTTAACTTGCTACTGTGAGAAGCCAAAAGTTCAGGGGTGTAAATTTTCTCCAAAGAAATCAATGGCAATGTGGAGTCTACCTACACAAGATATTTATGCAATCCCCATTATGGCAGTATTAGTACTCTCCCCAATATTTAATGTACTTCTCTTCACAATAATGTTGTAAGGTCAGCGAATCTGTGAAACCACAAAATCAAAAATACAAGATTTGTGAACCCAAAGAGAAAATGCTCAGTAAACCAATCATGAAGAGTAATTCAGTTGTATCTCCTTGGAGGAAATCACACTTCTAGCTCCCACTTTTAACATTTCAGATCTGCCCAAGTCACTGAATTCCAAAAACCTGGGCAGACTGTGCATGCACAGCTCAGTGGAGCATGTGCCATCAGTCCAGCACAGAGCAGGACAGGTGCTGTTAGACACTTACCAAGCTGTTAATATGCACATTATTTGCTCTCACCTGAGTCTTGGTCATCTGACAAGATGTTCTTTTTCTGCTGACCAAAACAATAGCAACTGCCTGTAAGAACATGCTGTTCTGGAAAGCTTAGCTGGTCTGTTTGCCTGTTTTATCCAATGAGTGATTACATTTAAAGTAGATTTAAAAAGACTGGAAATGTTACTTATTTAGGCATGCAGCTACCCAGCTGAACTTACAATTCAAATAACCAAATTATTTTATAAATCTGACACTAAAATGACTTACCAGAAGCTACAGAATGAGCAGTCAAATCTCAGACCTAGGTTCTCTTCTTAGTTGCATGACTCTTTCTCTCTCTTAATGGTCTGATTTTTCAAAGCAGGATTTTAAATTTAGGAGAATAGAAATCCAAGACTGGGCATGCAGGCAGAAAAAAAAAATCATGTGATGACCATCTCAGCAAGGCTTGAGTGCATTACATTGAGTACACTACCAGTAGCTCACAATTAATAGATTTCTAAAAGTGTCTGTCAAACTGCAATATTACTTTTTTTTGTATGTTATCAAATGAGGATCCAACCCTGAAGCACTTCCAAAGTACAAATAATACTTGTGTGTTATATACATAAATAATAGGGTTTGCTTCTTTGAGGGTACCCATAGCTGTCTCATGAGTGTGAACCAATCAATTTAGGAAGGCTTTTGAATCAGATCCATGCTCACAGATTACTTTTAAATCAATTCTCAAATAACCATTAGAGAATATATTTTGCATTTCATTTTTATTTTGCAAAGGATTTTTTCTTAAAAAAACCTGTAAGACAGTCAAGTTCCAGCTTCTCCAAAAGAACAGAGGCAGCTACATAGGTTATTCTAGGCTTGAAAACATTTTGCATTGAGAAGTCCTTTAGATAGTCCAACACTGATTTCAGCACAAGATCTTTTCACAATGCAAATATCAGATACTTTGGAGCTGAAAAGCAAAGCCTTCAGTTAATCCAATTCAGCAAATACAAACAGCTTCCTGAATTAAGTATTAGAGAGAGTATCTTCCTGGGCATGAATTCTGGAGCCTACAGCACTAAGTAGGGAAGGAAATGGGATGACAACAGGCAGGAGAAAATCTGCTGCTGGCCCAAATGTATACTTTTGTGGAAATTCAGCCCCAACTTCCAGCACTGCAACTCTTGAGAAGCAAGGAGGTATCTTAGAAACTATTGGTGCTAGAATGAAATTACAGATGTTAAATTGAAGGTATGCATAATAACTGTTAAACTGAAAGTATGCCTAATAACTTAAATTTTATCAGCACGGACCTAAATGTTGCAATTTTAACAGAATTATGCAGATTTGGTGCCCCCTGCTGTCTTTTACTACCAGAGTGACCCATGAAAAATATGAGTAAGTGATTAAACACACTGAACTGCACAAAGCACCCCCAAAGGGCAAATTAAGGATGCTATTCAAAAAGGCACATTTAAACTAGAGTGTGAGTTCACAGACTGCTTTGGTGAAGCACCCAGGAGCTGAGAAGAGCAGAGCTCTATGTTGGGAAGGACCACAAAGAGGAAAAACATTGAGTGCACCATGGCCAACAGGAGCCACACAGAGAGCTGAGCTTCAGCCTTGGCACACCTCCTTTGCTTCAAAGCAGAACCACAGAGAAGACTCAGTTTCTTGTGGGGATAAAACCAGACTAAATCCCTGTGGTCTATCTTTTCTTGCTCAACACCAGCTCTGCTATATTCCTGCCTCTCACACCCAAACAGGAGAGTTTAAACAGACTAAATACTTCCATATGATGGGAGCATCTCAACATCTCAAAAAACATGAGTACCAGTGGTGTCCCCAGATACACACTGGGTGCATCTACACAAGTTTGTGTTATCAACTAAAGTGGAAGGGACACACTCCAGGAGCACACCCAGTACAGCAGGCTCCTACAGGGACAAGCCCAGAGCTAACCTGAAGTACAGCCTCTCCAACACACTCAGCTGAATGCTGAGGCAGCACAACCTGCTTCTCTCTCCAGAGCAAACCTTCTTGGGCCACACTGCATGCTAAAGGGACTTCAGATGAGACTCACCTGCTGAATCCCACTGCCTCAGAGGTGGTGGTCTCACCTCTCCATCCCCCTAGATCCGTGTTGCCACCCCACCCATTTCATAAGCCCCAGCAACCTTCTGCCTTCTTGCTTAACTTTCTGACTTAAAAAAGTAATGTCTCCCTCTTTCCCCCCACCCCAGGCTGGGTTTCAGATGGATCAGTTTATTGTATGGTCATGTGGGTGCCTGGTCTGATGTAAGAGGGGGAGGAAGGTCCCTTTGGCAGCAGTACAGTCTCAGATTGTCTTAAACTAATAGTCAACCTTCTGTCCTAAATCAAATAAGGCCATGAGGTGCCAATGGGTGCAATTGCTTGTCCAAACTAACAGAGCACATTTCCAGCACAGCTGGGTTGAATCCTGCTATAATCAATGGCCAAGATATTATATCACTAACTTTTGAAAATTTCTCTGTTGGTCTCTTGCCCGTTCTTTGCACTCTTACAGGAATACTACACAATGTAAGTGATGATGAAGCAAAGCACAGCGCTCCATCTGAACTTCTGCAAAGCAGCAGACAGGACTTTTCCAGGAAGAATATCTATTTAAGTGATTTCCTTCTGCAAATCAACAGGCTATCAAGTGATGACTTTGTCTGCCTTAGCTCAAAGACATTTCTTTAAAGGTGTCTTCATTCAGTAGTCACAAGTAATCAATCAGTCAGTTACTTCCTCCCCTGGCTATCTGTGCTAGAAGATGAAAAAAAAAACAAACAAAAAAAAACCAACCCAAAAAAAACCCCAAAAAAGCAAACCTAAGCAAAAAACTCCACAGAAAAGGGACAGTCCTGTCTTGCCACAACAGAGGTGTTCAGTGACTTGAGACTGGTGCCTGTGTTGCTGAAATCACAGGTGCTAAAACAGCATTATGCTGTACTTCAAGCAGATGTGCAGCAGAGGATGCTTCATCATTTCATATTCTCCTCAGGTTGGAAGGCTTTTAGGACTGACATTGAATCTGTGAGTCACTGACTGCTCTGGAAAGGCTTACTGGTGAATAAGATGAAATTTCTGTCATTTATAGTGTCTGAGAAGGTTTTTCAACTTCAAGAGAAAAGAATTTATTCAGTTTCCCTGACACTTATTTATACACACAAGTTTTAAATGGCCATTTTCAACTCTTGAACTCCTGTGACTTAGTGAGATGTTATGATCTGTATTACATCTGCTGTAGCAGTATTTAAACAAACATCCTGAATAAAATCTTGCTCACTCCCACCATCTAGAAATCCTATTTTGTACTTCACACATTTTATTTTCATACCTCAGAATTCAAAACACCAGAAGGCAGGAATTTGGTCTGGTAACTATTAAATTAGTTGCACCCTGATACAAAACCAACTTGCTTACTACATCCTTTATACTTGTCAGTTTATTCAGTAAACTGGCTGCAGGGACTGTCTAAAAATTCACTTCTATCTCCTCTAAATGTTGTTTAAGTCAGAGGTCTGTCCTCTATTCACCTCTTTTCAGTGTGAAACACAGCCACACACAGCCATGCCAGGGGTTGTGCAAGAAGAAGATTATGAGGGTGGATCCACTTGTTTTGATCTCCCGACAGAGCACTGTGGTTCACCCTGCTACCACCAGGCTGTGGGGCTGCTCCTGCAGCCACTTCTTGCTCCTTTTCCACTCCTAAGCTCTCTTCTTTCTCCCCTTGTCTTGTTTTCTCCCTGAAATTAATAAATTAACATGCATGTCTAGCAGCCACCACTTGGAAAGAGCCAGACCTCGATGCTCTTGAGAGTGAGGAGACAAATTTTAACAGTTGAAATGAACTTGAGTGCAGGAAGAGCTGCGTTGACATAGAAGAGAGGTGTTCAGAGGGATGAGTGTGGAGGTTTAAGTCAGATCTTATTATCACAAGACCTCAGGGCACTGCCTAATCAGCAGGGGTGCAGCTTTATTGGGAAAAGTGTCTTTTATGATATTCATGTCTGTATCTGAAACATTCCATTTCAGTGAGACACCAGAGACACTTCATGAGCCACTGGAGTGCTGCACCACAGCCATAAATAACAATTACTGCGAGACTCTCTTCCAGGGCATGCCAAGCCCAGTGTGTGGGAAGGGATAAAGCACATCACTCCTCATGTCTTTCAAGTATGCTCTTCCCAACACAGAAACTAAGGTGAACACCAACATACATGGCAGAATTCTTTCTTCTCTCAGCATACTCTTTTTCCGGTAATCCAAGTACTGGGACACATTTCTTCTACCTACTACATATCTTTTACCTAAAAATGCAGATTTGTGCACTGTGAGTTGTAGTTTTCTCCTCACAGGATAAGAAATCACTTTTGGGATAAAGAATCCAGAACTGGGAAGCAAAAACCTCCAAACTCCATTCACAGTGTAAACAGAAGACTTTGCACTTACTCCATTTGTTGGACATCCTGTCTAGAATAGGACGGCAAATTGCCCCAGGCTTTGTTTATGCTGGCTAGCAAAACATGCCATAAACAAAGCAGAAGACAAACTGGTTTCTAACATGATTTGTCCAGTCTTTGAGGAATAAAACCAAACTTTTTAACACTAAAACCCAACACAACCAATTAGCCAAATCCTTCCTTAGTGGAAGGATTGAAATGAGCTATGTAGAGTTCAAAAAACCAAACCAAGAGTAGGCATCAATGACCAGAGCCAGAATTCACGAATTCAAGTCATTTGAGTACAGAATACACAGTGGAGGGACACCACATTTCTGCATATTTGTATTTCAGGATTAGGTTAAAGAGCAAAAGGTCTGTTCACCATCTCCTGGAGACTAAACCAGGATTGAGGGTATATATATGCTCATATATGCTCATATATCAGTAAGCACCAGGATATATTCCTCTGTTAGAACAACATTTTATCACATACATTTGTTCTTATCAGAAGCTGGAAGATAAAAGCACTCTTCATCCTGCACTTAACATCAACGGGTGACAATCTGTTAGCAACAGAATAAACACTGCACTTTATCAAGCATTACTTCATTTTCACTCTTCTGTTTCCATCTTTTTGTGTCCTTGTAAAGACTGGGCAGCAGGTGTGAAACAAGGACTACTAAATGTTACAGAATTCCAAGTAATAACATCCAAACCCTGCTTTTTTTCATGATAAACAAGTTAAGCTCCAAGATGTGCAGCTGTTTTAAGGTATTTTTATCCTGAATTCAGCATTTAAGGATCTTATGACAATTCGATATTTCATGTGATCCTATTAAATATGAAACACTAATGATCATAAAAATAAAAAAAATAGTGTGAAATAGATAATATTGATGTTCTTGCAAAGTGATGCTGCAGCACAGCCATTCAGCTTGT